CTTCACCAAACTTGGAGAGCGTGGGTATGAGTATGAGAGAGTATGAGAGAACTTAATAGTCAGGGTGAGTTTGGAGGATATTGGATTTGGAATGTTCAAGTTACAGTCAATATATGTATCACACATCCTGATAGCAGTTCTGCATTTAATTGTGTTTTGAGCAGGAGCGTTTGCTTGAGGTACTCTGAAATGAACCACAAAAATGGCCTGATTCATGGATGTTTTTTGCTTTATGGTTTGTTTCATGTCCATCTCTACTTCTAATCTATTTTACTTGCATGCCATATCTCTGGGATAGATAGTTTAAGATTGGAGACCGTTTAACTTCTAGTCTTTGCAAGGCTTCAACTAGAAGGAAGGAAGGAAGGAAGGAAGGAAGGAAGGAAGGAAGGAAGGAAGAAAGGAAGAAAGGAAGAAAGGAAGAAAGGAAGAAAGGAAGAAAGAAAGAAAGAAAGAAAGAAAGAAAGAAAGAAAGAAAGAAAGAAAGAAAGAAAGAAAGACATCTTTAAAAGGAAAAAATTCCTTAGCAATCTTCATCCCCTTTTCTGAATTTTCTCAATCTTACCGACTGTCCCTTTTTGAACAATGGACTAGAACAGGAGCGCTCAAGGGAAGGAAAGTGAGATAGTGATTGGCGATCACTTGATCTTTTCTAGTTCCTTCATTGTTGCCCTTCCTAGTCTCAGGCTTCTTCTGCTTTCTTGATTTCTTAGCTGCAGTCTCCATTTGGATTGATGACTGAACCAAGGTATACAAAATATTTCAGTTTCTCCATTGTCAGCATTGAGGTTATGTTGTTCTTCTGCAGTCATGATTTTTGTCTTCTTCCTGCCCAACTGCAGTCCTGCTTTGGCATTTTCTTCTTTCACATTCCCTAACAGTTGTTTCAAGTCATTGCTGCTTTCTGCCAGGAAGACGGTGCCTCTTGCATTTGTTAAATTCTCCCTGTTTCTAGGGAGATGGCATTTCAGCAATGGGGGGATCCAGCATTACTTAAGGGAAACCCTTTGAGTTTTATTAGGTTGCATGGCATTCATGAGCAACACATTTTCCACCCCAGTCATCAAATATACCTTTCTTTGTGCAGTTTTGCTTTATATATTTATAATACAATATTTGGGAAGAGAACTACATTGCAGAATTTGAAGCAAAAAATGCCGGAGTATAATTGAGTTAGAATTCTCGCCGTCATTTGAGAAGCACAAATCTAACTGGCTAAACCACTTTTGCCTCATTCATCCTCTGGTAGCTCCATTTCAAAGGCTCCAAACACTGCTGTCCATCAGGGAGAAAAGATAATTACTTGGCAAGACAAACCCAGGGTCTGACTCAGCATGAGAGAGCTGCCTCGAGCTTATCATGGATCCTCCGTTTTCCCTTCAGCCATTGAAAGAAAAAGAGGACAATGAGATACGGCCACATTTTCCATCCTCAAGAAGATTCTGCAAGATAGAGGAATTAATGTCTGAACATGGAACTTGAGAAAATCCCACAGTGGTTTTCATGGACATAGTAAACAATGTTCTTGCAGAAAAGAGCTACAGAAATAAACCATGCCCTACTATTTTGAGAAGTGTTGCTTCAAAAACCACACCACTGACAGAGGCCATGAACATAACCATAATGGAGATCCTAGCTAACCAGTGGCTTGAGGCCTTCACACAAAAATGGATTCTCTTCCACTGGATAGGACTAAACCCAGCAGTAGCATTACAGGAAGGGGATTTGTTCTCCTCTGTGCCAATTCCACCATGTACCCCAAACACCTGCTCTGAGGGGCTGTGAAGTCTTCTAAGAGATGCTTTCCAAGTGGTACCTTGGGCTTATGGTATGAGGAAGGGGGGAACTGAATCATCATGCTGGTGATGTCATGACAGCATTCCACTGGATTTAGGCCTTGTGTCTACATATAAGTATGAGCATGTTTTTTTTCCTCCTGGGAGACTCCCATGACCCATTACACACCTGATTTTCCCACCAGGGCATCGTCAAGCATGTAAATGAGAGCCTGCCATTGGAGAAAACACTTAAGTAGTACAGTTGAAACTCTGCTCAAGGTCAGTGTTTGACCCCAGTGGATTGTAACAGCCAGCTCAAAGTTCACTCAGCCTTACATCCTTCTGAGGTCAGTAAAATGTGTATCCAACTTGTATAATTTTGAACCACCCAGCACTAGGGGGGAAAATTTAAGGAGCACACTGTGCTCACTTTTTTAAAAGTAATTGCTCTTATGCAACTGCATAAAGTGAATAAAATTATGTCCCTGCTGCTTATGGAACTGAAGCTATCACCCAATGACAAGTGAAGCTACCATTCCACATTTGAAGTACCCAACTAGCAGCTAATACTAGCCACAAAGTAAAGGCCAACATTAACATTCCCTCTAAGCCAGTGGTTCCCCAACCTTTTTGACACCACAGATGGGTGTAGCGTGTGTGCGGGGGAGCAGGGGGTGTCTGTGTGTGCATGTGGGGGTCATGCATGCCTCTGTGTGGGGGGTGTCTGTGAATGTGTGGGGTTATGTGAGGGGAGCATGCATGTATCTGCGTGTGCAGGGGGGAGGAAGATCTGTCTCCACAGCCCAGGCCTGCGAAGAACATGGACCAGTACTAGGCCACAGACCAAGGGTTGGGGACCCATGCTCTAAGCCATGGGGCATGTGCAGAAGCACAGCACTGCATTGGGTGCGTGCAGCCACCTCAGTGTGCAGCCACCCCACCCATTTTCTTCTGGTTATGGACAGAACACCTCATGCGCAGGGCAGAGCCCCCGCAGAGCACTCCAAAAAATTAGAGGGAATTCTGGACAATAGTCATTGCCGGTGGTATGAATATATAAGAATGATCTTATAAACTCAAAATAGTCTCATAAAGAAAGGGATAAATGACAGAGCATATATGCAATGTCCTAGACTCAATATGTGTTGTTTCCCGTTGAAATGGATCTGGTAGCAGGACAGGTGAAAGACACCTGTTGAAGATGTTGGAAAGCTTCTATCTGTCAAAAAGGACTCAGAAGATGGTGAAGGTTGTAGTGGTGATGGCAGACATGTATGCAATAAATCATCACCATTTGTTCTCTTCATAAACCTGTTTATAATTAGAGGATCATATTCTCTGCTTCTTTTATGGGTCAACGTTTTCATGGAATCTCAGCTGCTAAGCTTTGTAATTATTCTAGATGAAGCTATTTTCGGAAAAAGGAGGGAAGATCACAAACATCCACTTGGACCCCCTTTGTTTTTACATCATTTACATTTTGTTTCAGAGAAGTTTTCAAAGGCATCCTTTTTTTCCCGGGTAAAGATCTGTTGTTCAACTGCATTTTGTTCAGCTCTCATCTCGTAAAACTTTTTGAGATACAGCACATGAAAGCATATCTCACAAGTGGTTTATGAGACGGAATGAAAATGGGGGTGTCAACAGGCCACGATGAATGGACCTGTGCTAAACAATCAGAGTGTTTGTTCCTTTCTTCATGTCAGTAGCATTAAGCATGGAGGAGATCAAAGGCAAGAAAGCAATATCGTACATGAGACAGAGCTCAACTTAACTGACGTCTGGGTCAAGCATTCCAGCAATTGGAAGGAATTGATCACTAGTGACATTATTCATCATTATAAGAACTTGGGACTGCAGGCAGTGAAATAATAGTGTCTGGGTTTGCTTGTTGGTCCCATTGGCAAGACTCAAGATCATATCATGCGCCCAACAAAGCTGTAACTCTAAGAGACAACGGATGTCTGTCTCCCAAAGCAGAAGACAACTGAGCCCCACAAGAATAGTGCTGGACTCAAGATTCTTGATTGAAAGATCAATTTCATGCCCAGTGGCAGTCTTTGCGAGACAAAACGTATCTTGCTTTGGAGATCTGCCTCTTTATGAGCTTGTCGTGTGTTTTGGGAGAATAAATGTGCAGAAAGCCACCCCCTAGAGCTGCATAGTAAAACTGTTGATGTTTTAAAATGTGAGCAACTAAAATGCATATGTTGGATGTGCATGCTTCAGTTAATGGAAGCAATTGATACAATATGTGGACATTACGGCCCATACATTATGTACAAAAATGTATTCGCATGTCCCTGTTGGAGGAAAATCTAGTGTTTAGTGATAGGGACAAAGCAGGGGCAGAAGAAATGCAGGACTTTGCTGAAATGCAGCAAAGTTGAGAATGAGAGTTTCTCATTCCTACAGACCTATCACCACTTTTCGCTTGGATCTGAATTTTCCATTCTATACCTTCGATATCAATCCAAATATGAAACCGAGCACCTTTGAATTTTTGTTCAAAAAATTTGAAGGGCTGCTTTTTCAACCAGCCTGGAAACAGGGGAGGAGACCGCATGTGTTCTCCACCAGCAATTTTCACGAGTAGCTTTCTGTCGGCCTGAGGAAAAGAATTCTGGTAGAGAAGCTGATCGCTATTGTTTAATTTGACGTTTGGGTTCCTTCGAAATGGGACACATTTGTGTAACTCAACAAGGAGCTCGTAAGTGCCAGGTTTCTTGCTGTCTTGAAGCAGTTTTTATTTGCAAGATCAACAGATGTTCCGGAGTTATTTTAAAACCATAACATTCTGAAGCTCAGAAGCAGGCCCTCCCTTCCACTCCCCCACATAAACAGATATCCAGATGCATGCAGGCATTATAATGGGTGCAGGACAGATCTCTCTGACATTAAGAAGAGAGCACTTCGGTTCTGTTCTCAATGGAGTTAAACTTCCCAAAACAGGAAAATATTAAAGGTGATATTTCTAACATCACGAAAAGGAGAACACCCGAGCATGTACATGCTTGTGGAGTGATGGCTTCATGCTCGTGAAAGAGCCATGCACAACAGTGAGGTCTAGTCATGTATGTCTATGTAAACACGGGTTTCTTCACCAACCGTAATTCCAGGGAAGTGTTCAGTACACTTGTCCAACCAACTGGAAGCTGGACATCATCATGACTGTGCTGATGACATACAACCCCTAGTAGGAGATGAATGAGCAGAAGAATATAAGTCATCAAGCACAAACTGTGGTCTTTAAGATTCTTTAATACAAACAAACCTCTGAATTTAGTATTAGTATCCTGCCATATTTAGAACCTGTGCTTATTTGGGGTCAGGCAAGGATCATCAGCCTCCAGCGCCCACTACTTATCCTCCAGATTGGATAAAGCCAGCACGGCATAATGCTGCAGTTGCTTCCGTTCATCCAGGTTGTACTGCAGCTTCTCTAGCAGCTCAAAGTAGCGGAAGAGGGAATCCCTGGGCCACACGACTTTCTCATCATCATCAGCTTCATAGAGTCCTGGCAGGTTCTTGTGGATGTAGGTCTCCCAGTCCAAATCCCCATTATAGAGTTCATGTGAGGTGTGAACATGATTCTCTGCAGGTGGACGTGTTGACGGTGTCTCTGCATAACTCTCTGGCATTCTGTTGGCTCCCTCGAGCTGTGACTGAGGCAGGCTGTGTCTTTGCTCCATAATCTCCATCTTAAATTTGTCTGCTTGCTGCTGAGTCTCTATCTGCTCCACTTCTTCGCTCAGGTCATTTCGAATATTCTGGAAATTGGTGACCATGATGGCCACAATGAGGTTCCTGAAAATGAATGCCCCAATTAGAAGCCAGAGGCAGACGAACACGCCACTGATGACCTTGTTGATCTCTGGGACTTTCCATGTATCTCGCAACAGAGCGTACCAATGGTCCATCGTGAAGAGGATGAAAATAGTCACCAAAGCGTTGGGCATATCTGTGAAATACATGCTGAACGTTAGGTCATCCCGCTCAGAGCGACTGTAGCTCTCAAAAAAGAAAATGCCCGATACAGCAAAGACATAGAAGAAGAAGATTAAGAGCACCAGGATGAAAGCCATCGCTTTCAAGGCTTTGGCAATGGCCATGATGAGAACTCTGACTTGCTGGAGTCTCGGGAAGAGCTTCAAGCAGCGCAGCACGCGGCAAACCTGAAGGATCCGTAAGCCTGCCACGGTGTGGGTTTTGTGTGTAAGGTAAAAGAGTTCGGGAATAAAGGTGATGATGGTGACAGTGCAGTCAAATATGTTCCAAGAGTTTTGCCAATACTTGTGGAAGCTGATGCAACAGTGCATCCCAATCTCAATGATAAAGATGAGGACAATGACCCATATGATGACTTCCAGAGCAATCTTCGCTTTCACAAAGTGATCCTCGGTCTTGTTCAAAATCTCCGTGGAGATCATGAGGACCAGCATGTTCAAGAGGATGAGGAAGATGATGAAGCCCTTAAACACTTGGCTGTTCAAAACTGAATATGCCCACATGGTCAACGGGGGCCAGTAGCTGCAGCGCACCTGAATGCGGTTGCGCCAGCGTTGCTCGTCAGTGACCAGAATGTTCCGGCTGGGCATGATGTTGAAGCGCACCAGCTGGTGGTGGTCTGTGAGCATCAACTTCTTTAGCTTCTTCCCATCTAAGAAATCCCGAATATTGTGCCGTGGGACAGCATGGCTTAGCCCTCGCAGGTGGTCAATCAAATAAAAGATGTAGATCAGCTGGGAGCGAATGGCATCTGCTCGCGGGTGCACCTGGAAAAGTGGGTTGAATTTGTTTTTGTGGGTACTTCTTGAGTCCACGGAGCGTGACATGGCTTCTTGTCACTGCTCCTAGTTGAACACAGAGAAGGTTAGAACATTCTTTCCAAAGAATCCAATAATGACCTCACAGTTAAGAATACTCACTCATAACAGACATCCCCTTCAACTGGCACAGGAATGGGGCAGAAAAGTGGTCCTTCGGCCATATACATCACTCCAAGGCTGTCCACGCAGTTATCAGGGTGCTGATTACGATGCGAATCAATCCATGGTATGTAGCAGAGTCAAACTGAATAAAGAGATTGTATCACACGAAAAAGGAAGGAAGACCATCAGCAAGACTCACAATCAGAAAAAAGTGGAGGAATTTCCCCAAGCACTTGAGGAAACCCTTCCAGTCACGAATGATGAGAACATCTCAAGAATGCTGTTTATAACACTGCCTTGTCCACATTTGGCAAGAAGACCAAAAAGACGGCCGTCTGGTTTGAAGCCTGTCCTAATGAGTACGACTTTGAGTTGCTTGTGGCAAAGTACAAAGACTGCCAGGAAATGTTCTAATGATTATTGGCTTCAGCTCTGCTCTCAGATACAAATAGCAGCAACACGGGTAACATCAAGGGAATGTATGACGGTATCAAGCAGGCCTTAGGTCCAATACAGAAGAAATCTGCTCCTTTGAAGGCTGCTACAGGTGTGATCATCCAGGACCGAGCACAGCAGATGGACCGCTGGGTGCAGCACTACTCTGAGAGAATGTAGTAACCGAAGAAGCATTAAATAACGTTGAGTGCCTTCCTGTCTTGGAAGAGCTGGACAGCAAACAAACTTTAGAAGAAATAAAAGTGGCCTTGGATTCCCCCACCTCTGACAAGGCCCCTGGGAAAGATAACATTCTTGCTGAAGTGTTGTAAAGAGCTCTATGAAATCTGTATGAAATCTGTCTTTGCTGGAGGGAAGGTGGAGTACCACATGACATGGAGGATGCAAACATTGTCACATTGTACAAGAACAAAGGCGACGGGGCTACTGCAATAACTACCATGGCAACTCTCTTCTCAGCATTGTAGGGAAGCTGTTTGCCCATGTTGCGCTGAACAGGCTCCAGGTGGTTGCAGACAGAGTCTATCAAGAATCACAGTGTGGATTTTGAGCTAATAGATCCACCACTGACATGGTATTCTCCCTCAGACAGTTTCAGGAGAAATGAAGGGAATGACAGCCACTTTTTGTGGCCTTCATAGATCTTACAAAGGCCTTTGACTTGGTTAGTAGGGATGGCCTTTTTAAATTACTTCCCAAGATTGGATGTCCACCTCGATCCTTAACATCATCAGGTCTTTTCATGAGGAAATGAAAGGCACTGTAGTTTTTGGTGGCGTGACATCAGATTCCTTTAACATCCAAAGTGGAGTGAAACAGGGCTGTGTCCTCATGCTAACCCTGTTTGGGATTTTTTTTGCTGTCATGCTGAAGCACGCTTTTGGAATTGCAACAGAAGGTGTCTATCTCCAGAGTAGATCAGATGGAAAGCTCTTTAATCTCTCTAGATTGAGAGTGAAGACCAAAAGTCCAACTGAAATGCATGCGGGACTTCCTCTTCGCCGATGATGCAGCCGTTGTTGCCCACTCTGCTGAAAATCTCCAACAACTTATGAATTGTTTTAGCAAGACCTGCCAAGAATTGGATTAACAATCAGCTTGAAGAAAACAGAACTCATGGGCCAGGGAGTGGACGCACCTCCCTCCATTACCATCTCAACAGAAGAATTTGAGGTTGTTCATGACTTTGTGTACCTTGGCTCAACGATTTCTGACACTCTCTCTCTAGAAGTCCAGCTAAATGTATTGGCAAAGCAGCTACAATTTTCTCTAGACTCAGAAAGAGAGTATGGCTTAACATGAAGCTGACAAAAATATACCAAGCTCCAGGTCTATAGTGCTTGTGTCCTGAGCACATTCCTGTATTGCAGTGAGTCCTGGACCCTTTGTGCACAGCAGGAGAGGAAGCTAAATACGTTCCATATGCGTTGTCTCTGATGCATTTTTGTATCACCTGACAGGACAAAGTTCCAAATAGGGTAGTCCTAGAATGAGCTGGAATTTTTAGCATGTATACATTAATGAAACAGCAGGATCTATGTTGGCTTGGGCATGTTGTGAGAATGGCTGATGGTCGGATTCCAAAAGATCTCCTGTATGGAGAATTAGTGCAGGATAATCGCCCCAGAGGGAGACCACAGCTGCGATACAAGGATATCTGCAAGTGGGATCTGAAGGCCTTAGGAATGGACCTCAACCGATGGGAAACCTTGACATCTGAGTGTTCAGCCTGGAGGCAGGCGGTGCAGCATGGCCTCTCCCAATTTGAAGAGACCCTTGTACAGCAGGTCTAGGCAAATAGGCAGTCCCAAAAACAGCAAAACCAGGGAGCTGGCGAGGGGACAGATGATGTTTCTCTTGGAAGGGAAGGAAGGAAGGACTGACGGACTGACGGACTGACTGATTATGAGTACCTAGCATTTAACACTTCTGGTTGTATTTTTCTGTTTTTTCACATTTCAGGGATTTTGTGCAGCCCTCTTTGACTGGCCGATTGTCCTGAAAGAGCCCCAGAACCCTTCTATTTATTTAGATGCTTAAATGCAGCAGCTATTATCCTAATCTGGGCAATTCACCGGACTGACGGACTGACGGACTGACTGATTATGAGTACCTAGCATTTAACACTTCTGGTTGTATTTTTCTGTTTTTTCACATTTCAGGGATTTTGTGCAGCCCTCTTTGACTGGCCGATTGTCCTGAAAGAGCCCCAGAACCCTTCTATTTATTTAGATGCTTAAATGCAGCAGCTATTATCCTAATCTGGGCAATTCACCCTGTTCCTAATGACTCCCATTAAGATCCTTATCTGACTTCAGCAAGGATTGTCAATGATCCTTAATTACCACTGATTAACCATTGCCAATCGCTATGGTTAGCAGCCACCATAAAAGATGCCTGCTTCTTGGGAGGAAAGCAATGACAAACCTTGACAACATCTTAAAAAGCAGAGACATCACCTTGCCAACAAAAGTCCACATAGTCAAAGCTATGGTTTTTCCTATAATGATGTATGGAAGTGAGAGAGAGCTGGACAAAAAAGAAAGGTGACCACCAAAGAATTGATGCCTTTGAATTGTGGTGCTGGAGGAGGCTCTTGAGAGTCCCCTGGACTGCAAGGAGAACAAACCTATCCATTCTGAAGGAAATCAACCCTGAGTGCTCACTGGAAGAACAGATCTTGAAGCTGAGGCTCCAATACTTTGGCCATCTCATGAGAAGAGAAGACTCCTTGGAAAAGACTTTGATGTTGGGAAAGTGTGAAGGCAAGAGGAGAAGAGGACGACCGAGGATGAGATGGTTGGACAGTGTCATTGAAGCAACCAACATGAATTTGACCCAACTCTGGGAGGCAGTGGAAGCCAGGAGGGCCTGTGTGCTCTGGTCCATGGGGTTACGAAGAATCGGACACGACTGAATGACTGAAGGAACGAACCATTGCCATGCTGGCTGTGTTCTCGATTTCCCTAACCTTTTTTTTTACCCCTTCCCTTTCTATTCCTGGTATCTATGTCTATCTGCTGAGGCTCCATTCAGTACCTCTGAAACAGTGGACTACAGTAACAACATCTCATGCCAGATGTGCTGTAAGACTCTTCCTTGTTTTGCTGCTGTAGACTAACACAACTACCCAGCCGCTTGGGCATTTCAAACCGCCTGGGAAATTTCAGCAGACTTCTGCCACATCAAAGATTTTTTTGTTTGTTTTTTTAAAAAGAAGTTATTGAAAATGGGCAGTACATATTTTAAAAATTACATATTTACAAGTTAGCTGGAAGGTGGTCAAAAAAAAGACCTTTCTCTATTATGTTGTTTTAGTTATGCAAAGCATTGTTCCAGGAAGTAAACTTTGTAGGAAAACATACTTGGCTGCATTCTATAGCAAATAAACCACAGAAGATGAAAACGTCAATCTCTGATGGATTCTAAAAAATTAGAAGGAGTTTTGCTTGTAATTCTGGGATGAAAGGTGTCATGGACATTAGCAATGTGAGGGTTACCATCCAAGATCCTTTGAAGTCCTTCTGTATGTCTTGTGGGTATATGCATGCTCAAAAATCAACTGTGGATCCTGGATGCTGGCAGACTACAATTCCTGTCATCCTTGTACATGCTGACATGCTGAGGAAAGTTGGCATCCCCCAACATCTGGAGGAGACAAGGTTAAAACAATCTGCTCTCATGTGAAAGTGGATGCCATTGTCACTCAGAGACGCTAGGAGGAGTAAGCTCCTTACGTACAAGCAGCACGGTCCTTTACAATGTCGGGTCGGGCAACTCAGAGAGAAAGGAATTGCTGAAAGTGGCATCAGGAAGCTACTAAAGATGCTGCTGGCTTGGAGTTTTGCTTAAAAGCTTGCGCTTCTCAAATCCCATTACATCTCTATGCAGGCCATTAGTTAATTAAGCAAAGCTACCAGAGTCTTTGATTGTCTGAATCTGTCATTTTGCCAGCTGCCTTTGGGGATTTAGCTCCTCTGTGTATCCCCACTCATGGAATTTGGAAAACAAATAGGAAACCAAGGCAGTGCAGAAATCAGAAAACAAAGCCCTCGTGAAACACAGCCAAATCGGCCTCCTTCTGCCAAGTGCATTAAATCACTGGATGCTGCATTTTTTTCTCCCCAAGTCACAGGGAGACTGACAGCCTTTGGAATAAAGGGAGAAGATGAATTCATTGCCAAAACAGTTATTTTCAAGGCCTCCCCAGTACTGTCATAATGGCTGATGACATCTCTCACCCTTCACCCAGAAATTGCACAGCTAGTTCATTTTCTATAAGGTAAAGGTAAAGGTTCCCCTTGACATTTGCTCATCCCGTTTTCAAGCCATAGAGCCAGCGCTTGTCTGAAGACAGTTTCTGTTGTCACGTGGCCAGTGTGACTAGGGAACGCCGTTTTACCTTCCCACCGAGATGGTACCTATTTATCTACTCGCATTTACATGCTTTCGAACTGCTAGGTTGGCGAGGA